AATTGAACATAAATTGATTATGAACTTACTCAACCTAATCGGACCTAAAGCACGGCTTTCATCTGAAAATTCCGACAATTAACCGAACACTAAGCTCTGAATTGACCTAATTAACAAGGTTATGAACTGAAGAGAAGTTTACCTTTCTGAACGCTCAACGGAAATCGGAAATTAGGCGTAGCTTCTTCTCGCGACTCCGTGCGGTACCACTTGACTTTGCCGTGCGATTGGAACGGAATTTAGGGAAAATTTGCTTAAGGAAAGTTGATGGCTTAGGGAGGTTTATATGCTAAAGACTTGCTGCTCCAACTTATAAGGGAATTGGGGAAAATTTTTGGACAAGTACACTCTTATATACAAGTGCCGTGAGGGTGGGAGGTGATGAAGGTGTGGCGTGGTCACCTCTCCCTCTCACACTTGTTTAACTCTTAACTAAGGTTTGGATGACTAAGCTTGCTCTAAGCTTGACAAGTTGCTTAATATAATTGGTCAATTCCTTCCTTAAGCTCAAGAAATGTTCACGGCAATTGTGGAAAAATTGGGCAAAATACCCTAATTCTCACGGCTTAGGACCATAATTATGATTAATCACTAATTAATCACTATCTTTATGTTTAATTATTCAATTAAACATAATACTTAATTACCAAAATTATTTCGGACGTAAACGGTACGCCGAAAATAGATTTCGGTAATTCCGATTGAACTTATTTAATTCCGAAAATAATAAACAATAACGTTACTATATCGGAATTAAACGTAATTTATACTGATAATATCTCGGGATATTACAAATTTGGCAAGCCATTTCTATCTTTGTATTCAAAATAGGGCTGGAGGTATTCCCGAAAAATTCAACCTTTGCCGACATCTTAATTCCAGTGGTTAAAATCATTGGCTACAGTTAATCCTTTTTCTAATACCTAATTCCACTTTTTTCATGAACACAGCAGCTCAGCAGTCATGAATTGAAACACGTGTAGTCGGGGCCGAGGTATGTACAAAATCATTGTCTTTTCATCATTTGTTTCATTTCTGTGCTGTGTAAATATCCGTTAGAATGTTGTATCGCATGATTGTGCTGCGTTTATAGTTGTTGATTGAGGTTGCTGGCGCGGGGTATAATCTCGTGGGATTTAGATAATTTAGAATCTCTAAAGTCAGTTTAGATGAACTCATCTTTTTGTTTGTTTACCTTGTGTGTGGATCTGTTTTTGAAAGCGATTTCTTATATAGCTAAGATTTCCAGCCACATTGTCTGGGAGCTGAGTGAAATGCTAATATACTGATGCTCTTTCACCCTCTTCATTTTCATTACCAATAAAAATCTTCACTCACATTTTTCGTGATAATCGTAATCCCAGCCGAGAAGCTATTCCGAAAAGAGTAACTAGAAGAACAAGAATAGGAGTGTTATGGAAAATACTGCATGCTTTATGATAGTCAGCAAAAATGACATCCCAATTTACGAAGCCGAAGTTGGTACTGTCCCCAAAGTATGCATTCATCCATTTTTCCCCATTCAATTTGTTTCCTATTCTTACATTTTTTATGATTTTTATGGGAAGTGTATCATAACTGTGATTTATATGATGATTCTGTGATATGGCAGAAAGAAGATGCTGCACATCTGCACCAGTTCATACTGCATGCTGCTTTAGACATTGTTCAGGACGTGGCTTGGACTACTAGTGCTATGTGAGACCTTTACTCTAATTACCTTGTGTTACATGTATGTCGTATTTCTGTGTGTGGGCAAACACAGTATTTTTGGAATGTTTTTTTTTTGTTAATAATGTATTAATGTGCGTTCCTATGAATCAGGTATTTAAAAGCTATTGACAGATTCAACGATATGGTGGTATCGGTTTATGTGACTGCTGGTCATATCCTTTTCTTTTGAGTTCAGTCATTTGGCACTTTTATTATGCCCTTAAAAAAAATACTAAGATGAAATTAGACAATGCAAGAACGTTCAACTTTTCGCATCAATTTGTGATGAGCGATAACCAGAGTAATCTGTTTGTGTCTTACTTTGATGGAATTGAGCCGTGTTTTGGTATTTTTTCCTGAAAGAGTTACAGAGATGTCTACTATGATTATAAGTATTGATGTTGTTGTTCGTTTATTGGGGTTTATATCTTTTCTTTGCTGTGTCATCAGCCTTTTGAATACCAGTAGCGATACTTATTGGAGAGCATGACCAGTAAAGCCATTCATATAAAAAATTTGCTACTTGCTGCAACTTACCTACCCAAGCCCCTCAACTTCAATATGCTTTTATTCATGGAAAATTCGAAACGTAAGTCGTAATTACCTTTTCATATTGAGGTTTTTTTTTAAATCTAATTAAAATATAATGACTGGTTATTGATGTGTTGTTTGGTGGTTGGCACTCCCCTACCTATGGTATAATAAAAACCTATTTCACATATTGTTTGCAACCTTGCATTTTACTTGCTTAAACATGATGTTGTTGGCATACTGTTAGGACTGTATAAATTAGGAGTAGCAATATGTCATAATTCGTGAGGAATTTTCCAATGCTGTATTTCCATTTCCAATGTACTTGATGCTTCCCACCTTTTTTTTTCCAGATTTATTTGCTGAATTCATATTTCCCTCTCATACACATCCATGCGAAATTCCAATGTGTCTTTATTGTTTCCTTAACCAATAAAAGTCATACATACTCGAATGATGTTGCTTCACGATTCTCGTAATGATGATGGAGTCAAGAGCTTCTTCCAAGAGGTTCACGAGCTCTATATAAAGGTTAGTTGCTCACTTTCTTTTTCTTGTTCATGTGAACTTATGTGGTTACATCACAAAGATTTTTGATGTTATTCTTTTCTCCACACGTCTTCCTAGTTTATTTACTTATTGTGCTGAAAACTATATGTATGATTTTAAAGGTTTGATTCCTTCGTTTTCTCTTTAGCTTTTTTTGGGACTTTGTGCTGCATATTTTATCTGAAAATACTTACATTATTACTAGGTGCATTTGTTTCGTAATCCGTAAAATCTATGTCCAATATACTAATAGTTTCAGACTATGAGTGCACATAGTTTTCTAATATAATTTCTAGATGTAATGATTGATGCTAAAGTTTTATTATCTCAGAAGAGGAATACAAGCAACATTTTTAGTGAAGTCCCAATGTAATTTTATCTTTTTATTTTATTTATTTCAAGAGATTTCAACAAGATCTGCCTCTTGATGTCATTTTCAGAGTCTTCTCAATCCACTCTACCTTCCTGGAAGTCGTATCACATCATCGCATTTCGATATGAAATTCCGAGCGCTTGCTAGAAAATATCTGTGAAGCCTACATTAGATTGGTTTTATCAACAAGTATTGATCACAATTTCTTCTCTTTTCTATTTTTCTTTCATTGTTTTATTTTTGTTTTTCTTTTGATCCTAAACTTAGATAATGGGCTTACATCAGACATACATTTCCAAGGATATGCAAGTTCTGCAGCATCTCCCCCTCGACATCTGTTATTGTAAATTCAAACTTTATGATCTTTTTTTAGTGTGCATTTTTTTGGCTATACGTTGTGAGCCTTTTTTTTCCTCTTTGACTCCGTTGGATATCTCAATTACCATCATTTTAGGGAATTTTCATGCAAAAAAAGAAAAATGAAAAAAGAAATCTAAGTATTTAGTATTTAACTGGAAATACATATATTATATTCATATTATTTAACTGGTTCTTGGATTTCGGGCTAGTCTGTTGGATGGTTGCCCTGGGTTCTTTGATCCACTGTGTTGCCCTGTATGTGCTGGGACATTATGTGATTTAAGCCTGCTGAAAGTGTGCAAATGTCGAGTATTTACCTCAGAGTTTATATGGCCAGCATGTGGTTAAAGAATGAGAAGAGAGAGAGAAGATAAGTGGCATTTTGGTGGCCTTGGTTCTGTTGTGATGTTGACGAGGTTATAATATGGTTTGAATACTGTGACTAGGTCCATTTTAAAAGTCCTAAAAATCAGTTCTAAGGCCTTAAGTGAGTTTTGAATGACTTAATTTTTTAACTCCTTGTGAATATTATTGCTGTTTTAAATGCCCATTTTGTTGCCTTTGATTCAATTGTTGTATACTTGTTTACTCCCTAAAAGTTAGATAGAAAGAAAAAGTCAGTGCTTTATCCTTGGGTTTAGTTCGGATGTTTGAACTATCAGTTTATTCTGGCTGTAGTTTGTGCTTTACTTATGTGTAAGAACAATTGAGATTTCAGTAAAGTTAAGAGTTAGTAGAAGACTTCAATTTATGTGCTTTATTTGTTTTTAATTTCCTTAATTAATTTGATTGTCTCATTTGCCCTTATCTACCTTAGTTGTCTGCTTTGTGTGTCATATATCTACTTGGAGTAGTGAGGTAAATTTTTATAGGAGTTGTCTCGCTTAATGTTAGGTTCTTGAGGAGTCGAACCCTCGACCTACGTTTCTGCTATTGTGTGTTTTGTCTACCTCGGATGGATCCAGGTGGGTACAATTCGCGTATCTATAATTATCGCATTTCGTATAAATGTTCGTCTCGATAACTTTAGTATGCCTGAGAACCCTAGTCTAGTGTGTTAAACAGCCAGGGGCGTCTCGCCTTTAGTGCCTTTGATGAATGCATAAGCAGTGCGGGGTCACCTGCCCGTCGTTTCCGGGAGGAGGATGCCTTAGCCCGTGTGTTGGGGAAAAACATCTCGACTGTCTTCTGGAAAGGATCCCTTAGCCCGTGTCGAGTCGGGGTGGGAAGGTTTCCAATTACTTCCTTGCCGATGTTTGATCGGAAGGTTGTTCTATGTAGATAGGAGGTTTGCGATGGGGCCATATAGGGAGTTGGACCTAGATTTATGCATACTTTATTTATGGTGTTGAATCTTTATGCGAGATAGACTTATGCGATATTGGTGAGCATGGTTTTGCTCACCCCCATTGTTTGTTTTGTCCTTGTTTCCTCTTCCTATCTTTAGGTTGAGCAATGTTGGCGGCAGCGAGAGACGAGCAAGTGGTGGTCATTGGATCGTTATGTCTTTGCTTCCGCATTATCTATTTATGTTGGATTGTTATTCATGGATTATGATGCTTCCGCTTAAACATTTTGAACATGTTGATGGGATTACGTTGAAGTCTCTTGATTTTGGTTTTGAAAACTTATTATAACTTAGTTTGATTATCATGTTGTTAGAGATGCATGTGTAGGTTCTTGTGGTTGGTTTTTCATTGTCACTTTTGTTTAATAGTTAAGTAGCGCTCGTTTAAGTTCAAAGTTTTAATTTGGATTTGTGAAAAATTTACTCTGATTTTTACAAAAATATTCGGTAAATTTTTTAAAATAAAACGGGGCGTTACATTTGGTGATATTGTTGGGTTCAGTGATGAGAATTTTGTGTTACAACTTCAGAGCTTAATTTGTTCTTTTGCCTGACCAACTTGCATTGATGTGCTTTCCCATGATTGGTTTAGAGTTGAGTCTTAGTGTAGCGGTCCTAGTGTTCCAATGGCCACAAAACTTCATGAACGACTTACTTGAATCAAGTTCGACTAAGTATGACTTGTGTTTTCTTCCTAAGGTCAAGATAAGGTGTTGATCGTAGTATCTTGACTAATTGTAGGTGCTTGACGAGCCGAGCTCGCTACCTACTCGTATCTTTGTGCTATCTCTTGTTGTTCTAGGTGGGTTTTGTAATTCCAAAATTATCTATGCCATATGTGTTATGTTTATTGAGTCGGTATATGTATGCATGTGAACCATGAAGTCTATCGATGTGAGTTGTCACGCCCGTCGGTACGGTTGTCCCCGTCGAGTTACGGTACGGTTGCCCTTGCGAGCTTGAGGCAAGTCTCCTTAAGTCCTAATGAAAGGTCGTGTCCGTTACAGTGGCACACACTCCCGCCGTTAGGATTTATGTAGCCCCTTTCCGCGGCTAATGAAAGATGTGTACATGAGTAAAATTATTGTTGTATTGTTCATAGGAGAGAGACATGATGATGATTGTTTTATGTTCATGTTGCGACAATACCATCTTAACATTGTTTATGTGCATAATGGTGAGCACTACGATATTATTTGTGCTCACTCTCACCTGCTCTTCATGGATGCAGGTTAAGCAGTAGTCGGGTGACGAGGCAAAGACGAGTGGCTAGTTTTTTATTTATCTCATTTGCTTCCGCATTTCATGAACTATGTTTGAGACGTTTTGAGACATGTTGAACAAATTTTCAAACTTATGTTTTGAATTGTGGTATTTGGGATATTGTTGAATTTGGATATTCATGATGCTTTTTTATTTGGAATATCATGTTTATTTGATTATTCACGCTGTTATGATTAAGCTGAATATCTTGGGCGATTTTGTGAAATGGGTTAATGAAAACCTTGTGAAAATCGGGTTTATGAATCTCCGTGTGTCCAGATAAGACTTGGACTTTATAAATGTTGTGAAATATGCTCATGATTTCAAAAGCGAGTTCGAAAATATTTTATTGATTTTTGAAAAGTCCAGAATTTCTTTAAAATTAAAGTGAGGCGTTACAGTTTGGTATCAGAGTCAATCTGTGTTTCTGTAGACTGGTCTATATGTGAAAAAACATGTTTATGTGATATATGTGATTTTGACCTTGTGTTTGACCACTCTTATTATTAGAGTTGTTCTTTTAAATTAATACGTAAATTTTCATGTTATCCTAATTTAACAATTATGCAAGTAAGTTTTAAAGTATATATTTTGTTGTTGTGTTGTATTTGTAATTTTTAATAAAATATGTACTTTTGATTTTATTTTTTAATTTTTAACTGATTATAATAATCAAATATAAATAAATTTTAATAACAAAAATTTTAATAACAAAAAAAAGAAAAAAGAAAAAAGAACTCAGTCAATGTATTTAACCAAATAAGTAATTAAACACATTTCATTAATTTATAATTAAGGTATACAAAAAGAAAAAATAAAAAATACAAAGTATAGAGATAGTGAACAGTGTCGCATTACATGTAGCGCTGTAGATGACTCTACTGTAGAGTAGAGTTCTGGCGTCGGGTTGGAGAGGAGAAAAATGCAACTTTCGCTTAGAATTGTATACTAGTGCAGGGTTTGAGTTGCCATATGCTCACAAATCAATCTATATCTATATAAAAAAAAGTTTAACATTTATTTCAAATAATGTGTGTAATTTTTTCACTTACACTTTTAGTTACTAAAAATTTGAAATTGTAAAATTTTTTTCCTTTCTTTTCTTTTTAGCATTGTATATTTTTTTAAAAATAATATTTGTTTATACGTATAAGGAAAATATTTTTATATGATGATAATGATTATTGCGAGATTACTCAAATTAAGGCATAAATAATTGTTAAATAGTATATAAAAAGTAATTATAGCAATTTGTCTTAAATTATATATACGAAGTGATAATATAATTTATTTTTAAAGCACTTTCTTTATTGTAACACCATTCGTCTATGATATTTCAAATTAGTAACATAATTTATCTTTAAAGCACTTTTTTATTATAACACTATCCGTTTATGATATTTAGGCGTATATTAAAAGTTTTATGGTTTACATAAAAACTTCCATTGTTGATAGAACCGTGTCAGGTAGAATTCACTCAAATGAAATATTATGCAGATTCGATATTCATTTTCTTAAGAACCATAGACCAGGTAATAAGTTTTTCATGGCCATTAAATTGGATATGTGCAAAGCTTTAATAGAGTAGAGTGGGACAGTGTGAGATTAATTATGCTTAAATCGGTTTTTAATTCCTGTTTGTGATGTGGATTATGCAGTGTATTTCTTCATCCTTCTTTTCATTTAATTTGAATGGTAAATCGTTAGGGTATCTTAAACCCTCAAGGGGTTTAAGGCAGGGTGATCCACTTTCACCTTACCTTTTTTTATTAAGTTATGAGATATTAACCCATTTGATCAATTTTGAGTTGTCAGTAGGGAACTTGAAAGGGAGTAAACTTTCAAAACAGTGCCCTGCCCTCACACACCTCTTTTTTTATGATGATACCCTGATTCATTAAAGCAGACCCCCACCAAGCCTTAACCCTTCTTCACATCCTGCACACTTACCAATCCATAACAGGCCAAACAGTCAACCGATCAAAATCCTCAATTTTCTTTAGTAAAAACACTCCCCAATCCCTTCAAAACCATATCTGTCATATTTTGTTAGGCATTTCTCCTCAAACATACTCAAAGTACCTTGGACTTCTCCTAGGCATTGGAATTTCAAAGAAAGCAACTTTCTCCTTTGTGGAAGATGGTGTAAAAAAAGATCTCCAATTGGAAAAACAGATTTTTATCATTTGCTGAAAAGGAAGTTCTCTTGAAAGTTGTGCTTGGATCTTTGTCAACCTACATTATGTCATGCTTCCTCCTGCCTCTGTCAATCACAAAGAAATTTTAGAAGAATTTGCAAACTTCTGGTGGGATACCAAGAAGGAAGGTAACAAGGGGATTCATTGGAAAAAGTGGAAACACGTCACTCTACCATTGGATATGGGAGGGCTAGGTTTTCAGGACCTGCACACCTTCAATAAAGCCCTAATCTCCAAGAAACTTTGGAGGATTCTGAACCAACTTTACCTTTTAGTTAGCAAGATTCTAAAAGGAAAATACTTTCATGATGTCGCCTTACTTTCATCAAAGCAGAAGAATAATATCTCATGGTTGTGGGTCAGTTGGTGGAAAAAATTGGAGTGCTTCAAAAGGGGGCTAAAATCTGATTGGAGATAGCAAGTTTGTGAAGATTTGGGAAATGCCATGGGTGCCAAACCTGCCAAACCTCACACCAGTGGGCAAACAACCAAGGGTTACTAATTTGATTTGGGTATGGCAACTCATGGACTCAATTGGATGGAGATGGAATATAAGTTTGATTGAAGATTGTTTCATTGATGAGGAAGCAGTTGCTATTCTAGCCAATACTGGGTTAGATCCTCATAGTAGTGACATAGTGACTTGGGCTTGGAGCAACACTGTCAAGCACTTAGTTGCATCCACATATTCTATACTGATTGAGGAGAATTGGAGAAAAAATGGATTTTGCAGGAACTAGCATCCATCAAACTGAGTCGTACAAAATCAGAAGGAGAACTTGGGGTTTGAAAATCCAGGGAAAGTAAAGCACTTCGTTGGTTATGAATAAATAAGATCCTCTTTGTTCTGATGAATTTAAAAGCAAAAGGACTAAAGATGGATCAAGTGTGCAAGTTCTGTGGGGATGAAGATGAGACTCAGTAGCACCTATTTTTCAATTGCACAAGAGCTAAGCTAATATGGAAGTTATCTTCTGTAACATGGGATGGGCTCGCAGCAGATACATGCTGCTTCAGAATATGGTGGCACTCTCTTTGTACACTGCCCTATAAGTCCAGCTCAGATGACCATATCCAACTTTCAAGCTACTTACACTGGTAGATGTAGAAGACTCGGAATCTCTGAGTTTTTCAATAAACCTATAAATCTGAGAAAGAGACACAATCATTTCAGTTTGGTTGTAGTTTAGTTTTTTTTTCTTTAGTTGGTCTGTATTAATAATCTAGTCAAATTTGCTGGTTTGCTTGTTTTAGCTTTGCTTGTGTGGTAGGTTTTGTTAGCTTGCTAGATCCTAGGTCGGGTACAGTAGGAAGTTAATTTTGGTGGCGTTTCCGTGTCGTTGCAGGAGTTTGTAGCCAACTCTCGGGTCCATAGCGTTGGCCTATGCGGAGAAGTTACTATTTCTCTTATAGTTGAGGCTTCGCTTAGCCTTCTCAATTTCTTTGTGGGACGTTATTGGCTCTGTCGCCGCGAACCTTGTATACTTTCGTTATAAATTCTATCGTTTCGAAAAAAAAATTATACAAATATTTTTATAAAAGTGTAATATATTCTGAATTTTTACTGTAAATGTTGAAAAAATAAATTTATATTTTCATTTTATTTTTTTGTTATTTATTTAAAAATAAAAAGAGGGGAAGAGCTGGTATTTGAGCAAGACCGCCAAGCGCGGAGCGTGGGCAGAAAGAAGGGTCATTGATAAAAACCATTTACTATTATATATACCTATGTATCTATATATATATATTGCTTTTTTCTTCAACCTAATTCTATTTTCTTTCTTCAGTACGACAGCAGCAGCTCAGCAGTCCTGAATTCCAACCTTCTGGACTTTCCTTCGAGCCCAGGTATGCGCAATTGTTCGGCCCTCTGTCGTTCTTTGCGCCTTAACCTGAGAAATTCATAGCTTAATTTTGTTTATTTTTGCGTGTAATTTTCTGTAAGATTTGTATCTTTAGGATTATGCTGAGGTTAAAATTGTTGATTGAGTTTTGTGGTTCGGGATTTAGGGTTAGATGTGCTTAATATTTGTTTTTTTATTATTGATTGTGACAAACTGAAAATTATATGATTTGAGGGATACCTTTATGTATTACTTTTGTTTATTTTTTTTATGTCATCTTTTAGGTTTTAGAGTATAATTCATGATTGCTTGTAGTCTCTGTTGGTTGTCCCCTTGGTCATATCGAGATTTTGGTTGTTCATGTTGAGAAATAAGAGAGAATTTTGGCGGGTTGACTCAGTTGAGATCGAATTTCCCCCTTCCCATTTAAAGTTTAGATCGAGTGGGCTGGATCTGCAAATCACCTTATGTTTCATGTGGATGCAGCTGTTTGCTTCTATTGAATTCGAGAGCCCTTTTATGTGTAGTTAGGTCTGTTCCCAGAGAAAGAATCAAAATAATAAGCATTGGGTTTGTGTTTTTCGCTGGATAATTGCCCATTATCTCTTGCATTTTCCTAAACAAAACAATAGCTCCGCCAACACTTTCTCAAAAAGTGTGATCTCTCTATTCCAGAGCCATTTGTGAAGAAATAAAAACACAGAAATGCCTAAAGACAAAAGGTTGAACTCCTTGTCTCTCGACCGGGCCATGGCCTCTCCCTACTCACGCGGTTCCAACTCTGCAGACCCCAAAATCGACATCTTGGACGAGGAGAAACAGTGGGATGACACTCTTTGCCCCATCTGCATGGATCACCCCCACAATGCCGTGCTCCTCCTCTGCTCCTCCCGCCAAACCGGCTGCCGTGCCTTCGTCTGCGACACAAGCTACCGCCACTCCAACTGCCTCGACCAGCTCCTCCGCTCCAATGGAACCCGCCCCCTCGCCTGCCCCCTCTGCCGGGGATCCGTTTCCGGGTGGGAAGTCGTTGGCCCCGCCCGCGACCTCATGAACTCGAAGACAAGAAGCTGCTCCCTGGAGACGTGCGAGTTCAGCGGGACCTACGCCGACCTGAGGAAGCACGCGCGGGCCGACCACCCATCGGGCCGCCCTTTCGAGGCAAGCCCGTCCCGGCAGGCAGGCTGGACCGAGCTGGAACGGAGGCTGGACATGGAGGATGCTCTCGCGTACCAATCGCATATGGACTTTGAGGAGCCTGAGCTCTGGGATGAGTGGGGCACGGACGGGCTGTTTGACCTCCCAGGGGGAATATCAGACATCGAGGATGGGCTGTTGGAGGAGATTTTTGGGGGAGGGCTCTCCTTCTCGTACACGAGCTCCTCGTACACGAGCTTCTCGTACACGGATGAGGAGGATGTGGATTCTGATAGCTCGGTCTCAAGGCTGGACAGTGAGGAAAATGGTATGTCGAGGTCAAGGTCCCACAGGGAAGCCGATGTGCGCTCAAGATCGGGTTATCATAGGGGTAGTAGTTCGAGCGCGAGAAGGGAAAGCTACAGTAGGCAAAATGAAACTTGACAACGTCTGGGGCGGGTTATGCTAGGGGGAATGTAAGGTCGAGTTACCGTGGGGAGCATAGGCAACAGCAGCCTAGTTCGAGAGGAGGGTCGGGTGTCGATAGAGTGAGGAGTGGGCTCCATGTGAGGTCTGATGGTAGAAGTAGTAGTAGCAGTAGTAGACGACATTTGTCTGGGTCTTCACAACATTTTTCTGGGTCTTCCAGGCAGCATTTGTCTGGTGGAAGTAGTAGCAGTAGTAGAAGACATTTGTCTGGTGGAAGTAGTAGCAGTAGTAGAAGACATTTGTCTGGGTCTTCCAGGCAGCAGTCCCGTGGAGAGTGAAAGTTTGAGAAGAAATGTGTAGCGGCTGCTGTTCTTATCTTTGTTTTTTTTTTTCCTTCTAACTCTTGAGTATCATTTTCCNNNNAAAAAAAAAAAAAAATAAAAAGAAGAAGAAGAAGAAGGAAATGGTAATTTCTAGTTAAGGGTTTAAATTTTCTTTGATTTTTTTTTTTCCTTCTAACTATTGAGTATCATTTTCCCAAAAAAATAAATAAATAAATAAATAAAATAAAATAATAAAAAAATAAAAAAATTTACTACTCTTATGTCGAGTTTTAATAGAAAAAGGTGAAAAACTGCTCTTATTAATATCTATCTATTTATTAGGGAAGGTACTTTCTAGTTTTAGTAAGTTTTTTGTCTGTCGTATCTTAAGCTTTTCATTTTTTCACCGCCAGATTTTTTGGGGAGCTATGTGTGAATTTATTATCTATCTATTTACTGTATAACTAGTATTAATCGAGATACTTATTAACATTTATAAATTAAGAATGTTCATTAAATAATATCCATAAATTAAAAACATAGAATTTATATGCGATGCAATTTACCTAAATTTAATGTTATATGAAACTTAAATTGTGTAAAACTACATAAACCATGTTTATTTACAATTATTACACAACTCTTATGTTGTACATAACTGATGATAAATTACATTACATTCATTTCAAAATAATTGTAAGTTTTACTATTTTTATTTAAAAATTCAATTTTACTACAATATGATTCTATAAAATAATTACTTTAGTAAAATTTTATCATATATTTAAAAATATGTGTGAATCATAAGTATAACTAGTATGGGTTCCGTGCAAAGCACAAGTAAGATATATTCATTAATATATATAAATTTAAAATTCTTATTAAGTAATATTTATAAATTAAAATAATGGAATCAATGTATAATACAATTACCTATAGTAATTTATTGAAAATGTTATATAAAGTTAAAATTGTTAAAAATTACATAAAATTGTCTATTTAAAATTAGTACACAATCTGTGTGGTGCACATAACTGATAATTAATTACATTATATTTGTTTCGAATTAAGTATCATTTCAAAAATTTTATTCATAAATTCGATATACTATAATGTGATTCCATAATATAGTTTATTTTGGTAAAACTAGTACGAATCCCGTGCGATGCACATGTAAGAGATATTCATTGATACTTATATAAAATGCTTATTAAATAATAATAATAAATTAATAAAAATATGAAATCAATATGCAATGCTCCCCTCCTCCCTATATTAATTTATTTCAAATGTTATATGAAAAATATTTGTGCAAAATTACATAAAACATGCCTATTGAAATTAGTACACAACTCGTACAGTGCACATAACATGTATTAAATTACATCATATTCATATAAAAAATAAGTGTCAATTTTTTTTTTTTTTTTCTTGGATACTAAATTAAACTTAAGATGTCTGAATTTTTTGATTGAATGATTTGTATAGTGAAACGTTATATTTTTCAAAATTCATGTAAAACTGAGATAATATATAGTCATGTACAAATTCGATTACCAAATAGACAAATAGAGAACATAAAATTAAATTTTATCTATCTTAATCATTTATATAGAAATAGAATTATAATTTATATTAACCATGACCTAAAATGGCATATTTTTATTATTTACAATAATTTTGTTGTTCACCTTAAAATTGTAATTATATTTGGATATATTTTGTTAATAATATATAGAAATTAAGCAAATTTAATTTCTCTTATCCTCTCTATATATAATTTCAGAACGTGTTGAGTTTAAGTGCTAAGTTCGCATGCTTTGGATGTTGTCATATTGAAATGATGTGCTTCGTAATTCGTTTTGTATAAATAATATTGCTTTGAATTTATGTTTGGTACTTCACATAAATAGTTTATTTCCAATTTTGGTAATTATGCATTTATATTTGTCATTTTTTCTCTTTCTCAAAATCAATTCTCACCAGAGAAAATTCATATTATTTATTCTCGTTTATTTCATTTATTAACTACCATAATTTATTGTATTCATAATTTAAATAATAATAACTTTTTTCTTATATGTAGCTCTTTTTTCGGATATGATTTATCAAATTAATTATTTTTTGACGATTTTTTATTGTACATCTATATCATATATAGAAATTTAAAATTAATTCCAACTATCGTTATAAAAAAAAAATTAAACTTATTTGTCAATCCAAATTAAAAAAGACATAGACAAACAGAATTATATATTATCTTAGTAAAAAGTATTTATATAAATATACCCCAAAATATTTTTTATAGTCTTAAGAAACAAATATGCAAACTTAAGTATAACTATAGAATGAAAATAGTCTAAAATTTAAAAACAAAGTCACTAAGGAGAAATGACAATCTAGTTGTACTTAACAATTATTTATTAATATTTGCCCATATAGTTATACTTAAATATATGAAATAAATTATTCGCTCATGTAGTAGCCTAGTTATACTTAAAAATTTGTAACATTTGCCCATATAGAATTCACATCAGCTTTATTCTGTAAAAACTCATATTAAATAAACAATTTAGAAAAAAACTATAAGATAAATTTAATTAAAAAATATACCCAAAAATATTAAATTTATTAATTATATAAGATTATTTAGATATATTTTTTATATAAATATACCCAAAAATATTTTTTTATAGTCTTAAGAAAAAAATATCCAAATGTTAAGTATAACTATAGTATGAAAAAAGTCCAATTTAGAAAAAAAAAAGTCACTAAGGAAAAATCACAATCTAGTTATACTTAACAATTATTTATTAACATTTTCCTATATAGTTATACTTATATATATTGAATAAATAATTTCCTCATCTAGTAGCCTAGTTATACTTAACAATTTGTAACATTTGCCCATATAGAATTCACATATGTTGCATTTTATTGTGTAAAAAGTCATAATAAATAAACAATTTAGAAAAAAACGATAAGGTAATTTTAATTCATAATTTTTTTAACTAAATATTATATAATATAGAATAAATAATTCGAATTACATAAGTTAAATAGCTTACAAATTTATTTCTTTTTAATTGTGGATATCTATTATTTTTCTTTAAATATATGATTATGCAAATCAAATGATACACTTTATTCTTAAAGTTAGTATTTTAAGAAATGTGTATCTTCAGATATTAGAGATATATATATGTGATTAGTATTACCATAATAAGTCAATCAGTAATTACCTAAATTGTACCTTTAAAACATACCATAAAATGTTTAAATAATTTCCAAATGTAGTAACACATTTTTTTGGCGGGAAATAGTTACTATTTTAAAAATAATCAAACCTTTATATATATATATATATATAGATGTTATCATATACTAGTACAGTCCTCGTGCGATGCACGGGCTTTATTATTTCTGTCTTTTTAAAAGACAATTTTGTTTTTAAATTAAAATTATATAATAATAGAACGATCATGACATTAGTTGATTGCATGTTTAAATTAATTATTTTTTATATATCTAGTAATTTTGCAATTAGTGTTATACATGTGGTAATTTTGCAAGAAAAAGTGATATATATTGTACATGGTGTAATTTTTTTTATTGCAAACGGCCCACAAACAGAGAGCCCAAATACAATTCAGTTAAAAAAAAAAGATCGAACGATTGACAATAATCAACTGAAATGTACGTGTGAGATCGACCATATAATAGCATTTGGTCGTCATTAGGTTTAGGCTTGCCATTTGCGCCGCTTCACTCTTTCCTCTCCTCACGTTTCATCTTCGAAATTATTCTTGTTGAATTTAAGACATGAAATTCGATTTTAGTTATGCTTTCTAGCTCAAGTATCATTTTCGATTTTGAATTAGTACACTGAAATTCTGTAATTAGTTAATATATTTATAATTTTTATTCAGTATTATGTATTCCTATTTTTTTTTTACGAATTATAATTATTTTGATTTCATATGTTTGTACGATTTTGTTTAAATCATTTTCAGTTTTCAACAAAATGTAAAGTTTCGTCTGCGGTCTTCACCTTTCAGACAGAAAATGATTTTTTTTTGAAAAAAAAAACTTCTCATTTTAACTCGACTTTGATACCCGGATTTATTTTTTTGTGCACGATCTGGAATTTTGATATCGAAAAGTAGATTTTTGCTGGTTGAAATGAAACAGAGAAAACAATGAGAAATTAGAACTGATAATTTTTCAGTACATATTTGTATAGTATTGAAGAAGAGAGTAACCGAAAAATAAAAGAAATGTGGACAAAGCTAATTAGATGAATAAATAGTGAGTACTTTCCCGTATTTTATATAATTAGAGGAATAAATTGAGTATTTTCCCGTAATTTATATAATTAGAGGAAGAAATAGTGAGTATTTTCCTGTAATTAATAAACTATAAACTCTAATCAATAAAAGAAGTTATATATGGGTAAACTAAGCATGTGGTTGTTGCATTGGATAAGCATAAATGATATTGAGATTATCATGGAATTATTTAATATTCTCACATAAACAATAGAGTAAGAGATAAACATAAAATTTAAACACGTGTGTAATACTTGTTTTATTTTGACCTGTGTGATTTTTGTAGGCTAGAGATAAGCATAAAAGGTTATATGTCATTTCAATAATGCCTTCAATATGAACTGTTATGATGAAATGTAGATATTGAAATTAGCTATGTTTACAAACTTTACATTATTTGCATTGTTGCTAGTGTCATATGTCTATGGACAATATTTATATTATTAAATATATTTTCTTGCATGCATAAGCATGTTACAATCTAATTAATAATGTCTTATACATGCATGACTTGAAGTAAACATCATCAACCAGGTGCGCAAAAGACAAAAGACATGACTCAAACATGTAGAGTCAATTTTATATTTATACAATATTAGCTTCACTTTGTCAAGTTTTCATACATTATTTTTAAAACCAACAAATGTTGATAACTTATGTTAGTCTTGTTGTTTCCTTTGTCAAGTT